TTTTACAGAGTAATGGCATTACGATCAGATTTTTTAATTAACATCGTTTGGTGAATTTGGCATTGCTTTTATTCTTCTACAAGAAACTAAAATTGAATATTTAAATTGCCTGAAGTTATGTTATAAGTGTTAAACTTTCTTGGGAAGAATTTCAAGCTGATATGATATATTCACTCCTTAATGAGAAAATTTTTAAAATGCAGCCAAAATGGCTTCCATACCCTGTCCCAATCTCAATTTGCACCTCTCCTACTAGGAAAAAAAATCAGCTATATGCTGCTATATCCTCGCACATACATTGTCAAGTATAGATGTCGCATATTACATTCACGCCATAGTAACATTAATTTTTAATCTACAAGCAAAATTTTCATCAAAAATTAAATATCTTGCGATTTGAACTGAAATGCTGATAATAGTGGAATTTTCTTTTAAAGCCACACTGTTGTAAGGGTAAATGACCGAATTACTGCCCACTGAAATTTTCAACTGTGCTAAATTTTTCATTTCTTGATGTTTTTTTATGTAAATAGAAGCAGTTTTATTTCATATTTATCTGCAGCATCTTGTACGATTAAAACGACAAAAATTTTTCTGTTATGTTACATATTTTTTTTTTAATTAATGTTTTAATGCTGATATCACTTGTTTGTATTATTGCGCACAGTTATAAAATTAGCACCAATTACTGCACACGCAATTACTGCGCAGGTTTCTCTCGTAAGGTTTGCATGTTGAAGTCTAAACACAATTACTGCGAACGACTACGAAGTTTTATAGGTTAGATTCGTTGGAAGTCATTTAGTCGAACAGTTATGAATATCATGATTTAAAGTAAGATTCTGGATTAAACGTTATTACTGTTTGAACGTGTTACAACGTCTGGAGCACACTTATTTTTGAGCATGTTTCTATTTTTTATTACCGTCGAGTGCGCAGTAATTGATGCCTGTACAGTAATCCTATTTAATGAAACCTTTTAGTGGTCACTTATCTAATCTCACATTAAAACCAGACAAACGCATAAGCCAAAGCTGTAAAAAATTTTAATCTCTTTATGTGGTTCATGCGCGACTCTGAGGTCAATATGACGTATAAAAAAAGAAAAGAAAAGATGGTTTATATTATGAACAAATGCGTACCTAAAAAATAACATTTAAAAAATGGTGATTTTTAACACCCTTCAAGTTATAAAATAATATGTATATATTAAAATAGTTCCGACGGTGACTAGCAGTGTGTGCAGACCGGAAACTCTTGTTGTCTGCTAAACTGCTGACGTGTTTAACTACTNTCTGAGGTCAATATGACGTATAAAAAAAGAAAAGAAAAGATGGTTTATATTATGAACAAATGCGTACCTAAAAAATAACATTTAAAAAATGGTGATTTTTAACACCCTTCAAGTTATAAAATAATATGTATATATTAATTTATATGAGAATGAAAATAGTTCCGTCGATGACTCGCAGCTCGCAGTGTGTACAGACCGGAAACTCTTGTTGTCTGCTGAACTGCTGATGTGTGTATATGTATATAGTGCGACGTACTGTAACTCTAACCTAATCACCTGTGTATATATACAGCTGCCTCGATTGTAATATGCAGAGATTTACATGTTTCTATTTATTTATTCGACTGTAGAGGAGCAATAATCTATTACTTTAAATTATTACATGGAGTAACTTATTGTTATAAAATTGCATATATTTACAAGAGAGAAATGTACCAAAGAATTGTATTGGGAATTTTCAATAAAAAGGTACATCACATGATCGTTCACGTGTTTGAATTTCGTGCCATATTTGTAAATTTGGACGAACATCCATAACCTGTACTGAATAAATTTTGTGATTAAATATCTTTCTATTTTGTCCTATGAGGTACAATTATTAACGCACTGTTACGAAGAGGACGACTTCTTGTTTATTACTCTAGTTTTTGGTCAGTCAGGCCCAGTTTTACGAAGAAGAATTGTATGACTTACGGTGTCAGAATTGTGTACGTCAATTAGAGCCCATGATAAATGAGTGCTCAACAACGATTTTCAAACGTCTCGTTCTCATTATTTGATCCTATAAGCGTATCTGAAATTTTGCATAGAGGTGTATAAAAGCTTCATAAAACACCTCTCCAAGTTTTACTTTGATAGCCCAGTAATAAATTTTCGCATGAACCACCTCTATTGATACACGTTTTAACTTTCAACTTTCGTGTGAACAAGAATTTTGGTCATTTCCGTCCCCCCTAGGCCCTACACTCGGTTACTCATACAGGTAAGGAAAGTTTTTTTTTCTCATTTTATTCATTGACAACAGATGTTTTATAAATGAAAAATCGTTTGTATCAAGTCTATACGAGCTACAACAGTATTCTAAACCTCGAAATGTCACTTCCGTACCTGTCACTTTCGTACCTCTCCATGGTACAAATGTCTCTTTTTCTAGCTTTTGTGCATCGAAACTCAACGAAACTTTTTTTCTAGTAATGTTTGGCTGAAACATAAGGCTGATAAGACACGTGTCTCAGCATTTTGGTCTAACTGGCCTTTTCGTGAGATACATCGATGACTATCGATTCCACTTCCAACACTAATAGCGAAGGAGCACACTATTTTAGGTGGTCCAAAATAGACTCAAACGACTACTGAAACGAAGCTCTATTGATTAAAAAAAAATTTGTTAAATTTTGTGCCACTAACCAAACCAATTAAAAGTTATACGGATTTTTAAAAAATTAGGAATTTCTGGCAAAAATCTACGAGAGCCCAGTTTTGACGATTTTTTTCGCTTTTCTTCAAACAGCTATAACTTTTGAGCGGAGGCACTTAATAGAACGATTTTTTTCAATCAATAGGATTTAATTTTAGCTTGTATTCCATTTGGGTTACAAAAAACTTTAACTATACAAGGAGCTTAGCTACTCGCATCAAAAGCAGACGTATTTTTAAAAAAAGTTGACTTAAATTGACATGTATAAAATGCCACATATACTTTGTCCCAAAAACTTTTTCGTGAAATCGCTTTAGATACTTGTTGTAAATGGTATTTGAGGTAAAACTACTAAAAAAAATAATTTTTTCAACCAACTTTTTTTAAAACGATTTTTTAAGGCATTTTGAGCTAATTTGGGCAAAATCGTACCCATATAAACATAAAAATTATGTATTTATATATCCTATCATATTCTACAAAAATTTTCTTGAAAACTTCACACTAAAAGCAGAATTCCACTTGTTATTGGAAACCGAGTTATTTTCGATGTTAATTTAGGGGGAGATATGAAATGGATTTGCACAGTTACTAGCATTGATTTTTAGTTGAAATTTATTAGCCACTGATACAATATGAAGTGGGCAGTGCAGCTCCAGCATTTTTGTTTTAATAAGAAACAAAATTTTTGGTCAATAAACACAAAAGGTAGGTACGCTAGAGCGCACTGCAATTAAAATACCGTTGATAGTAAATTATTATGACACAGGAGCTTGTGTCAAGTATAACTGGTGTTTTATTTTGAATACCGTTGCTTACCCTCACAATGATGTAGTTAATTGTTTAAGGGAAATTGAAAATGAGCTAAATTTTTCAATTAGCATTCACAACATAAATAGAACGAAAAAAAAGCACAAAAAATATGAGAAAGAAAACAAAAACGAAAAAAGGCACAAAAAATACGAGAAAGAAAACAATCAACAAAATTAAAAAATAAAATTTAAAGGTACAGTTTTGCCGTTGGATTGATTTAACATTTAACCACGACTGTGAGCACATGGATCAGCTTGGACCGCGATAGCGTGTATACAACTACGAACGCATACGTATGGCACGGCAGAAACCAACCATGTCGGGTGGCAAGAGAAGGGGATGTAAAGGCTTAAAATTGCTTAATCTCTTGTCAGCGGTGCTGTAGTCCTTATTGTAACGTAGGATTATGTTTTCGACTGCAATTGCGAAAGAAGAATTACCACGGCTGAAATTACTGAAGTACGTTTGTCCGTTTTTTCGGAAAATTTTTTAAATTGTCTTTTGTTTTCGCAGAAAATATCAGTTCCTGAGATCATAAGTTTCGTGCTCATGCTCAAAGTTAACTAATGAGAACTTTAAATAAACTTACAGAATTGAGTTGTATTCTAGAATGGCTTATTTTTCTTGGATGTCAACAAAAACTGTAAGATCCAAGAGATACGTTACCAGGCTTTAAATGTTTGTACTGGTACGTTTTTTAAGTATTATATGACATCGCTATTTTTTTTTGATAGTAGCAATTTAAATATCTGTAGCGAGGTCACCATATCCAAAAGTTGTGATCCACAGCATTGGAAAGTACTTTTAAAAACAAAAATTTTAAATACCTCATTTTTTTTTATATCACTGAAAAATGTCTGAAGCAGTATTTCAGCTAATGTGAAACGTTGGATATACAATACATATTTATATACAACATAAGGTCAATGACTAATAGTCCATAGACTACGGGCGTATACAATCATCGGTATAGTAACTCTTATGAAAACACGTACGTCGAAAAAGAATCATTAAGAAGTTATACTTTTACGTAAGTAAACAAAAATACTATTCTTAGAGTAAAACATTCATGAATGTTTTTTAGTAACAGTTTGCAAAATTTTTCAAAGAGTTAGATAAGCGCTTTGATATTCCATTACAGATATAAAAAAAAAATCAAAACAAATTTAAGTTTTTCTTTATTTATTGTTTTTTCTTTATTGCTATTTTTACTTGAATAGCAACTAATAACTTCAAAAGAAGACGTAATGTCTCATCACTTGGCAGGAATGTACAAGAGTGTGAATTATTTTTAACGGTTACAACATCCAGCCCTGTAAACAAGTCGTTCGCAAGAAAAAGAAGTACGTGAACTCTCTCTAACTCGTCCCAAGCGTTTTGAAAGCAACCAAAGTTGGAGCACTGCTTGCGTAACTTCTTCTTCTTCACGAGTTTTACAATAAAGATTGACGTATAGTTACTCACCTCAGCGCGCGTCCAGGGGCTGGTCAACAGCTTTGAGATCGCCCAGATTTGGCACGACCGTCCAATATCTGCGAACAAAAATTTAAATTGAATAAAGTTTAAATCACATTAGGCAGCTCTATTGAAAGTACAAGAAAAGAAAAAGAAGAGAGAGTCAAGTTAACCCAAGTTAAAACATGATTGGCTGAAATTTAATTTGGTGTTTTCTCTCTTAGTGCACTTTCCTACTAATTGGCCATCATCTTATCCTCTTTTAACCCTGTTCCAATAGATGCCCTATTTTGTAAGTTGTTCAATCGTTTTCTCACTCTCGCACTCAGTTACAGTACATACACATACTCGATACATTTTCTTCTCTATCCGAGTCGCCTAGTCACTCACCTGCTTTTATTTCCATTCTTGTTTTCAGCTCACCTCTCTCGTGAAGCTTAGAACTTGAAGAATCGCTTTTATTTTCAACTCTTAAGTACTGGATTCATTTTATTTAAAAAGTCAGTACATTAAAAGGGAAGGGGCTATTAAATGGAGATAAAATGTTTAATACGCAATATGTTTCGGCGTATATTATAAACAACCTACTCTAGAAATGTCGTATTCTTGTAATTTACACAAATTGTATAAGATAAGGAAGAAAACGATTGACAATACCAAATGATTGTGCTGATAACTAAGGTGTAGTCTTTTCTTCACCAAATCGAAAATTGTACGAGACATTGCGAAATAATTAAAATTTACATCAAAAATAAGAAATAGTATTACTTTTAGAATAACTTCAAGGTCTTCAGGACTAAAGAAATTTTGATAATTGTAGTCATTTACGTAATGAAATTTCTTATACATATATAAATATTGTATTGCTTAAAATAAGTACTCGCATATTAGTAGTGAATTTTGCTGTTGTAGCATCCGTAAGCTAAAACAAAACTATTCTACATTTTCTTAATAGGATTAACTACAATGCAAAAAATAAAAAAGAAGAAAAAAAAAAAACTGAAGTGTAAGGTACAGAACAATTTTTTTAATAGCTCTGATCTATAATTGCAACAGTGACTTATAATGTTATTAATATGACTACAAAATAAATCATGATTGCTTTTGTGAAAGATTAATAGAGTACGGACTTTCATTCATAACTTAACTTTTCATTTTACTTTAATAGTTTGATCCAACAGATGTCGTATTTTAGATGAATGTCATACTTTCACACCGTATTTACAAATTTTATACTTTACAACAGTGTGTTCCTAAGCGCGTACTTTGGATATAGTGTTCAAAGTTTGAAATATTTAGAAGAATGCTCATAAAGTATTAAAAATTGGCATTTAAGTACTGTGTACACAAATACCTCTGTCTCAAACCCACTACAGAACGAGCAAACGTTTAGCAAATACTCTTTAAAATACTAGATTCCTAAAAACCGAGAAACTCCTTATGCAGTATTATGCTTCCATCTTCTAGGCATATAGTCATTATGTGTTCAAGCATAAATTGTTTGTAAGCTCCATCGCTATTTCAGAAGCTGTATTTTTTCCCACTGCTTGTCCAATTCTTGTATATTATATTATCTATAGCATTAAAGAGAAATGAACAGTCATACTAAATAGGAGAGCCACGCAGTTATGAAAAAGCGTAATCAACTCTAGTTGATCGATGTGTGTTCAGACATGGGTTTGTATTGACTACGAGCACATCTCAGGTGGCACTGCCAATGCATACAAGTCTACGTACTCCAGGCCTTTTGTTGACCATTGAGCAAAGTAAATTTAGAGGGACACGTCCTAGAGCTAAAGTCTTTTTCTTTTTTCTTAAAATAATGATGCTGACAAAATGCGAAGGTATTGGTACAACAGTAAAGGCCCAGCAAGGACTGTATTGCATTGCACAATAGAAATACTCGACATAGTATTATTGATACTCGGCTCTTGAGTTTTCAAAGAAAATCACCTCAAAGTCCTCTTGTAGTTCTTTCCTTGCGTTTATTCTTTCTGGTAATTTTTCTTTTTTTGGTAAACACTTTGAGTTCAAATAACGTTTTAATACACTTTATTCTTGAATTATAATAGTCTGAAGAATCACTTTGATGTTTATAACATAGTAAAGTCATATAAAAATTTAGATTTTAAACTTGAGAATTTCAAGTAATAGAATATTGCATATGATCGGTACGCAAGCGCCTTCTAAGACCAAAACTACTAGTTCAATTTAATAAACTTTATCATCAGTTGGTATTTCAACTGTACTGAGAAACAAATGTTTGAACAATGTAAAACACTTTCATGGTTTTATCACTAATTTTTTTCTTTATTACAACCTTTAACTTTCATATAGGCCATTTTACATAAACTAGGTACTGAGCTCTTCAAACGTATACCTTGATCAGGATTATTCCTGCTGTCATTCGCTGCGGTGTGTAGTTCAGGGTTTTTTTTTGGAAGCGCGTTGGTCTTCCGCTCAAAAATATAGCTGGATATTTTGCTTAAAACTAACTGACCCAGAGAACGGAGAGAAAAAACGGCGCACTGGTCTTGACAATAGTTTTTATGATATTTTACATCAAATATCAGACATGCGTATACTTTTATTACTCAATTCAATCAGAGTGGTACAGAGCTTAATGAATTTTTGAGAATCCGGCACTGTAGCTATAAAGCTTAAGGCTTACAGCTCGTCTTTGTGGAGATTTGCTGCAAACTTTGAATTTTGCTTCAACCATTAGCCTTTTTTACTATTTTTTTTTTGAATTACTTTGAAAAATTAAGCTTGGTAGCTATCAAAAGGATTTCAAACAAAATGAATTTTACGGATTACCATCAATCTATCTTTTTAGAGAAGATTACAGTGAACACGCAAATATTGGTAATTATTTTATTGTACGTATTTAATTACTCATTTTTTTGTGATTCAAGAATTAATATTAGAAACTTTTATTATTTTATGGAATATATATGTATGATACTTGAAACGTCAAGTAAAAATTCAAACAATTTTTCAACAGGACCTAGTCCATAAAATTTTCAAAAATATAAAGGTTTAACAATCACACGCGCGCGAGTAACAAACTTTAGCAAAAATTCTTTTTTCACGTAAAACAAATTTAATGTTTAATTTAAAATAAATTACTATCACTAACAAAATGATAACGCGCTGTATTACCTCAGCAAGAAATTCAATAATGACTAACCAGATATCTCACCCTCGGGAACCCTTTGCCCCTATTGCACACAAATCTCCCAACAGTATTCAATTTCAATACTCGGGGTAAAGCGAGGGGTAAAGGAAACTTGGATCGATCTAACTACACGCAGATAGACTCTGAAGTATACCGATTACTGAACAGCAATGGGAAAAAATGCTGCATCTCGACTACTGGAAAAAAGAACGAGGAAAAATCGAAATCACATTTAGTTCCTGCCTATACCCTCTTCTTTTCGAAAACTTAGTTACTGCATAGAATCTTTACGGTCTCATTGTTTGGTATATCCAATCTAGGCTGGGAGCCTTAAGACAGATGCTCCCAGTCATTATTTTCCGACCAATCAGATCGTATCCGATACATGTGCTTATTCAAAGCTTTAGCCGCTACCATATGGTGTAACTAGTGGTCTCAAGAGATAGACAGATCGGTTTTCCAGCATTTGTGGGTCGGCTTTCCACGGCTATTCTTATTGAGCTTGAGACTTGCGTGTTATACAAGAAGCTTACATTAATATAAATCCCTATCTGCAGCTACGGAGAGAGCTTGCACTGTTAAACTCAAATATATTCCCTAGTATGGTATGGATCAAAATCAATGATATCTGCAGAATTAGGTACGCGACTGGGCTTAAACTTTTCACCATCGGTGGCAACGCTGTCGATTGTTCACGCTGACATCACGGGCAAGCTTAATGTGATTCGGTATAAATAAAGACAGTATAGTTTTTGCCTTATACACAAACAAGTATTTTTAAGAATTATTTTTATTTTAAGAATGTGTAAAGTTTCAACGCGTTTGTTTCATAGTTACAAAAACTTTTTTTGTTTTTTAATCTCACCCCTCGTGTATACTTGGGCCGAACCTCCAGTCACTGGCTCTGCTCAATCTTCCATATCCATGAGAAATGGGAGTGGAAAGAGATCCATCGAGAGTTGCTGAGCCACACAACGTACGGGTATAATAAGGAACACATAGAAAAAAAGGCATAAAAGCAAGACAAGCTGAATTCTTCGATAATACACGGATATTGGCTACTGTTACTGACACTTTTACTTCCCTTCTCCCCTATTCTTACCCCAACTGTTTTCGGACCTTGTCGCTCACGCTCTTTCAAAAACATATATACGTATCATGTGGGAGTTACTGTGGTGTTATATATCTCTTAGCCCACCCTTGACCTGACTCCAGGCCTCTTTCAACTTCCTTCCAGTAGTTTTTCTCTCTACAGGCGTCTCCTAGTTTATCTTTCGAGTTTTCCCGCGTCAACATACTTTACACATGACGACGATTACCAAAGGAAAAGAATCAGTCTCCTCACTGTCTTAGCTACTTACTTGCTGGCCTCACCCTTGTCTGTACCGATCTATCTCTAGTTTTGGCTCTTTTATATTTTTTGTTAGCCATGTGACTTGATAAGTTTATCATGTTGTCCAACCCATATCCCTCAGTTCAACACATGTATGTGAGTCTAAAAAGTGATAACTCGTTATACATAATACGCGTGACTTGAATTATGAAAATGCATATCTTATGGGATAAAATATTGCAGAGACTAGGACTTGAAGTAGACGTGCTCGAACATGCGACATCGCACCACTTTGCATATTATAGAACATTGTATAACAACAACACGTGGTTGTCATCTCGGAGACATCATAGCTTGGTCCTGCCGAAATATCATCTTCTCCGCCAAAAACCTCCATGCATTTCTGACAGCTTTGCTGATATGCAGTAAATGCGAGTACCTCGCGATCGATGTGTGTATATAAGTGAACGCACACGTGCGTTTATAAGATCGCTTCGTTCAAAATTTCGAACTACTTGCTTCATGAAACTTTTCTGAACAACGTTCTTTTCTGTAAACTGGGTCAG